TGGTACAAATAGCTCCAGGATTCACACTGCCAAGCCTTTCTCCCAGTCAGGAGAGCACAAGGCTCGCTTTTGAAAAAAGAGGAAAGGTGGAGACTAATGGATGAGAGTTGACTTTGGCAAGCTGGGCCTTGAGAAGTGGCATTAACTGTTAGAGGGGCTGTGACTCTAAAGCAATGAGCAAAGAGATGCTGTGCTAGACAAACAGGGTGTAATAGAGCCACAGCGATGACAGGCTTCAGTATTTTCTCACAGATAATAACTAGCTGAAGAAAAGAAGATGCCTTAGGCCTCTAACCAAATTGGTCACCTTACAGCTATGAAATGCCCCACCCAGCACTAATTATGACTGTTATAACAGTAACAATTAAATCAAAGTAACTGCTGCTATTCTTTGACAGCGGCCTTGCCAAGGTGAGTATTTTGTTTGATTACGAAGCAAAGAAAGGGACTTAACTTAAAATCGCCCTTTGTTTCAGAAAGGTTTTGTTATTATGTGAGTAAAACTCAAGTTTTGACAAGTTGTGAACACAACCCTGTGTTCCCAGTTTCCCAGTTTCCAGTGTTTACACCTGACACGGTGTTTGTGCATCTGTGATGAAGGTTGAAACAGAGATTGGCCCTTCTGTTTTATGTGATACCCCCCAGCTGGACTGTGGCTGTGGCTGCCCCATTGTTGTCTTTTCTGCCTTGTACCATCCTTGCCTGCTGTTTACACAGGTTTGGATACAGCCAAAAAAACAGACATCAGTGCATTTAAACACACTCACTAGGAACAGCAGCAGGTGGCCCCAAAATCAGGTGAGTCTCCTCTAAACAGTTTTATTTTTGAAACAAACCCCAGGATTGATGCTGTGCCCCAATGCTTGGTGAGACAGGAAAGCATCACCATGGGCCATCTGTCCCAAGCACAGCCAGAGAGCATTCACCTTCCCCCAGCTCTGCAGACTGTCTGCCAGCAGCCAGGGAAGCCCTGAATCTGGGCTAATTGAGGGGATCTGCAGCCAGCCAGCTTCATATTTAATGGGGATTTACTGCTGATGGAAATTACAAGCGAATTACAGATTCCAGCGCGTCACGGTCTCGCCAGAGTCAAACAAAAGCACGTGGTGATAAGAACAGAGTGCTGCACACTGGGACCTGAGGTCTCCATGGACCTCATTGCTTTGTTAAAGCATTGCTGATAAGCTATGATGTACTACAGAGCTCCACATCTGCCCCAGAGACTATGCTTTCCTCTGTTGTGTTTATAATGCCATTTATTATTTCCAGCTCCCCTGTTTGTTTTTATAGGAGTGTAGGAGGGTTTCTTTCTCCTCAAATCAAATCATAGGGCCTCACCATTTCTAGCTCAAAGTCTCCCTAATGCTGCTAATCTCCTATTAACAGCCTACTGACACAGAAGAGACAACAGAAAAAGACTGATTGCCAGCCCTCTGGCCCTGTGACCGTGTGCTGGTCAGATCTGGATTAATAGTTGAGGCGATTTACCTCAGGAGGCCTTGTCACAGGTGCCTGTAACTCTAAACTCTCCTCGAACTGCCTGGCAGGAGAGGGAGGAGGGGATCCAGTAAATCCACAGATGATGCACACACCAACAAGGCCCTGCTGAAAATAATTTTTCTTCTTCTATACAAAATCAGGATGACTGCGGGGAAAAAAACCTCTTTGACTTCATACAAAAGGCAACGAGCTGGGCATGGGCATTCCACCCAGGAGGATGGCTGCGGGAAAAAAACCTCCTTGACTTCATACAAAAGGCAACGAGCTGGGCATGGGCATTCCACCCAGGACACAAAACCCACTGTCCTCATACCACCTGTCACTGACAGCAAGTTCTTTTGGCTTTTCTGGTCACTAGAAATTGTTATCCAGGAGCACTGCTTCCCTCCAGTGCTTGTGTAGTAGGATAGACTGCCCTGCTGTGTAGCTGGGACCCTTTCAGCTTTAAGACAATTTAAGCTGCTCCCATTCAAGGAAAGATGGAAAAAACAGCATCATTCTTATTTGGCAACAAGTACCCATGTGACAGTTGGGTCCGGCAGCCCAGGCAGGCTCAGGCTCCCCTCCCGGGCTGCACTGCACCTCCTACATTTGCCATGCAGGCTGTGCTGCTCCATGACCCTACATAGCAGGAGGAGGGTGCTGGCAGGACGGCTGCAGCTGACCAGCTGCACTTGACGTCAGCCAGCAGCAGAGTGGCCACCCGGAGCATCTGAGCTGCACCAGGAGTCTGCCAGGGAGGGAAACAGAGGCAGGAGCTGGAGCTGCCTGGGTCCGGCTCGGCCGCCCGGGATTCGCGTGTGCCCGACTACGGAGCTCCAGCATCTCTCGTCTCCACGAAGAGGATTGCATTTCAGAGTGATTTCTTTTTGCTTGTTAACAAATTGGCGGTAAAACAGGTAATTGTTCCTGGCCTGAAGTTAAGCAATCCTGTTACTGAGTGTTATTTGCAGGTCAGAGAGCTGCAAGAGGTTTGGCCTTCAAGGCACCACACTGTCCCCTCTAGGAGGAGGGGTGAAGTACAAAAACATTCTACCGTGCCTTACAGAGAAATTAATTTAATCTACAAGCATTGGTATTACAAGGCTGCTTGTCCACCTTGGCTTCTTACACAACCACACACTGCAGCTCACACGGAGCTGCCGTTCAGAGCAACTCCTACCTCTCCCTGACCCTTCCCAGCCTCTAACACAACTGCATCAGTGTTGCAGCTCCCTGTCTTTCCACAGGTCTTTATTCATCAGCATCTGCAGGGAAGCAGGATCTGACTCACTCCGCAGCTCCTGCTGCTCGCTCCCCCAGCTGAAACATCAGCCCCGTTCCAAAATATGCCTCCGTGACCACAACACCTGCTGCAAACATCACCAGAGCAATGCTGGGCTGCCCTCCTAAGGGGCACAGCACTGCTGGCTGCTCCCCATGACAGAAACCCTTCAAGAGCATCTTTGCATGACACTAACTTACCTTGTTTTTGTGCTGTCTCACTCCTTTTCTGAGTCTCAGTGAGGAGCATCCAGCCAGCGTGAGTCTTTTTCAAACTTGATTCCTTATCCATATTTGGGAATTTGTGCTGGGCACCAGCTGGTACGAGGCATGTTCTTCCCACAGTGCACTTTGGGACTTGTAGTTCCCAAAAAGGAATGTTGTTTTCCAAATTGCAAGCGCCGAGCAACAGAAACAGAAGTCTGAAACGCCTTTACCTCTGCCTTTGCTTGCTGCTGGGCCCTTCCTTTCACGTGTGTCTGTGGAGTGGTTCCACCTTTGCCAGCCTGAATCCTCCAGGAATCTCTTCCACAGTTAAGGGCGGTGTGCCAACCCCTTGGATATGCCACTGTGTAAAAGCTGCTGCTGCAGAGAGAAAGGCAGGTACATGGTCCTGCCTCCTGAAAACAGCTACCTGCAAAAAGAGAGCTCTGATCAAGTTTTTAATTGTATCGCCACACTGAAATGGTGTACAAAATCCCCTTTGAAACGTGGGTTTCACTCTTTAGCATGTTTCGTATTAGCCCATTTGATTTTTAATTAAATAATCATAGTAGGGGGACAGATAAGTGTGTCAGTTGTTTAAAAAGGTTACAGGATAAATCAATCCTGTCTCTCCTGTAGAGATCCATTTTTGAAGAGCGTTTGCCCTGACTGCGGTAATTACCTTGTAACCAAGACACCCCGTTGTTTTTAAATAACAACCAAAGGAGAATGCGGGCCGCTGCCTGCCGGGTGCTGCTGGAGACGCTGTTATTACACCCGAGCTCCATTAACAGCGTAATGTGCTTAGAGCTGCGGGCAAGGGGAGCCGGAGGGGAGCTGCCCGGGGAGCGGAGAGCATCCCTCAGCCTCGGGACGTGCTGCGGGAGCGCTCCCCGTTAGCACCGCACCCCTGCCCGGGGCGAGGAGAGCTGGGACACCCTCGGGATTGGGACACGCGGGGCTGGGACACCCTCGGGATTGGGACACTCGGGGCTGGGACATTCGGGATTGGGACACTCGGGGCTGGGATACTCTTGGGGCTGGGGCACTCTCGGGGCCGGGGCACTCTCGGAGCTGGGACACTCTCGGTGTTCGCACACTCTCGGGATTGGGACACTCTCGGGGCTCGGACACTTTCAGGGCTCGGACACTCTCGGGATTGGGATACTCTCGGTGTTCGCACACTCTCGGGACTGGGACACTCGGTGCTGAGACACTCTTGGAGCTGGGGCACTCTCGGGATTGGGATACTCGGGGCTCGGACACTCTCGGGATTGGGACGCTCTCGGGATTGGGATACTCTCGGGGCTCGGACACTCTCGGGGCTGGGACACTCTCGGGATTGGGATACTCTCGGAGCTGGGACACTCTCGGGATTGGGACACTCCCGGGGCTGGGCTGACGCCCGGCGGCCGCGGGCAGAACAGCCGAGAGTGCTGTCCCTTTCCCGTCCCTTTCCCTCGGCAGCCACACGAGGGAGGAGATGAGGGAAGCGCGTTTGGCAGGCACGGGCACCGATCCCGGAGCGCCCCCCGGGTGCCCGCTTGCCGCCGCTGATGCCCGCAGAGCCCCAGCGGGGTAGGGACCACAGCGGGTCATGCTGTCCCTGCTCAACCAGGGTCACTGCAGGGCACACGGGAATGCATCCAGGAGATTCTGGAATATCTCTAAAGGGAGGCTCCACACCTTCTCTGGGCAATGTTTCAGTGCGTGGTCACCGCACGGCAAAGTTCCCCCTGTCCCGGTGGAACTTCTTGCGCATCAGTTTCTGCCCATTGCCTCTTCTCCTATTGCTCGGTGCCACAGAGCAGAGCCTGCCTTTATCGTCTTAGCACCTCCCTTTAGGTATTTACACACATTAAAGATGTCCCCTCTCAGTCGTCTCTTCCCAAGGCTGAACAGCCCCAGCTCCCTCAGCCTTTCCCGGTTAGAGATGCTCCACCCCACAACCATCCAACCTGCCTTGGTACTACACCTCCCGGCGGCCCGCGGGGCCGGGGATGCTCCCCGGAGCAGCCTTTCCGCTGCCGGGCGGCTCCATCCCGGCTTTCCGGTGCCAGTCCGAGCGGAGCGGAGCCGGGCCCGGCGGGGGCGGCGGCGGCGCTGGAGCCGGAGGCTGAGCCGGAGCCGTGCGGGGCCGGGCGGAGCCCTCCCGCCGGCGCCATGAGGGCCGAGCCGCCCGCCTGGGCCCCGGCGCAGGCGGCCGCGCTGCTGGAGGAGGCGGCGGATCTGCTGGTGCTGCACCGCGACTTCGCCGCCGCCGTGGAGCGGTGCGAGGCGGGCTGCGACAGCCTGGGCCCCGGCCCCGGCCCCGGCACCAGCCCCGGGCCCGGCCACGAGAGGTGCGAGCGGCGCTGAGGGGCCGGGGTGTTGCCGGGAAGCTGCTGGGTGCCGCATCAGCGCCCGGCTGGCTTGGAACTTCAGGCCATGCCTGCGCTGCTTCGGGGTTTGTTTTAGCCCCGTCGATGTGAAAGTGTTTCCTCTGTGCGTTTTTGAGGGAAGTGGGGTGTGCCCAGGAGCCTTCCCTTCGTTCTCTCGGAGGTGCAGCACAGTGCATATCCCCGGAGGTGGAATTGGCCTTTTTATAAGGGATAGGTAGAGGGGAAGCAGAGAACTGTGTGGGCTGCACTGGAGGGGATGCAAGGGGAAATGTGGTTGTAAGAAGCACTTATTCACGTGTCTGTTCCTTACCAGTTTTGCAGAAGTGAAATGCTCCCTTTGTGTTGTGGGGATTCAGGCGCTGGCCGAGATGAACCGGTGGAGAGAAGTTCTGTCTTGGGTCCTACAGTACTACCACGTCCCTGAACATCTGCCGCCAAAAGTTCTGGAGCTGTGGTCAGTTTCTGTCTGTTGCTGTCAGATATACACACGGGGCTTGCCATAGGTTTAACTGCAGGCCAGGCTTGGGTATTGCGTGATACTTTCACTTTGTGTGGCGTGAGTGAGATCTGGGACAGGCCTGTTCTGTGTGTGCTGGAGCAAGATTGCTTGCATGGTGGTCAAGTCTAAAAGGGGTGATGCTGAGAGAGTAACATCAATACCTGATTGACCCTCATGAGAGCTGCTTGTGTGTAATAGCTGTCAGCAATGCCAGCCTCCACAGAGACTCAGTGTTTTCTCACGCTTCTCCCTTGCATCCCAGCATCCTGCTGTACAGCAAAGTGAGAGAGCCGCAGGTGATGCTGGAGGTCGGCAGCAGCTGGCTGAGGGCCCACGCCAACCAGGGGCTCCCCGAGTTCGGCGCGCTGCTGGAGCTGTACCTGGCGCAGGTGCTGCTGCCGCTGGGGCGCTTCGAGGGCGCGGAGGAGCTGGTGCGGGGCTGCGCCGTGCCCGGCAGCGAGCAGCAGCTGCGGCTCCTCGGCACCATCGGCCACAGCCGCTGCCGCTGGACTCAGCGGGAGGAGACGCGCTCGGCTGCTGAGGAGCGGCAAGACCCGGCCACAGAAACCCTTCTGGGTGGGCTTTCCCTCTGTTAATTTGTGCTCCTTTCTTACGGTTTCATTTCAAGTTGGTCCCTTAGTGGCAAAGCATAGCAAATATTCAGAATTTTGCCATGATAAACAGGCCATGAGGCCACGGGCCAGAGCCGCTGTCGCTGGACTCAGTGGGAAGAGACGCACTGAGGAGCAGCAAGACCTAGCCACAGAAACCCTTCTGGGTGGCTTTCCCTCTGTGGTTTGTGCTCCTTCCCTATGGTTTCATTTCAAGTTGGTCCCTTAGTGGCAAAGGGTAGTAAATATTAAGAATATTGCCATGATAAACAGGCCGTGAGGCCACGGGCCAGAGCCGCTGTCGCTGGACTCAGTGGGAAGAGACGCACTGAGGAGCAGCAAGACCCAGCCACAGAAATGCTTCTGGGTGGCTTTCCCTCTGTTAATTTGTGCTGCTTTCCTATGGTTTCATTTCAAGTTCATTACCCTACTGGCAAAGGGTAGCAAATATTAAGAATATTGCCATGATGAACAGGCCATGAGGAAGTCCTGTTGTGTATCACAGCAGGAAATAAAAGACTTAGTGATACCTTTGCTGGGAATTGCAAAGCATATTTAGTCTCTGCTGACATCAGGAGATGACAATTAATGCTCAGGATCAAAAGTTTGGGGTTTGGTTTTGTTTTTTTTAAAGTAAAAAAAGGAAAACTAAGACTACCTGCAATCCTTTAAGGATATGTTTTTTTGGCTCTGTGTACATTTTGTTTCATTTCCATTTACAGTTGAGTCCAAGTAGAACAAAGCCTGCCTAGCATTTAAAGTACTGCTTCTTCTCCAGAGCTGTAAATCATTGCATGTTTTCTCCCACGACAGAAGCTGGCACTACTGTGGTATAAGATCATATTATAGTAAAGTAGGTGCCTAAAAAAGAAGTATAATGAAGTGTATTACAAAATTGTACTGCTTCTTTTTTGTATAAAAAACCAAACCCAACCCAACTCTTATGCAATCAGACTTCCAGTACCTTAGTTTACTATTGGCTACATCTGTGTGATTGCTTTTTAAACTTTACTTTGCCCTAACAGCCTTTCTGTTTTTGTTTTCCAGGAGTGCTGTCCCAAAAGCTCCTGACCATGTTGACGTTGCTACGTAGAGCACTGAGGTCCATGTCAAACCACTTCTATTTACTTCCTTACAAGAAGATGCTCTTGGCTACTTTTTTGCTGTACCTGGTGGTGGTGAGACTAGACCCAGGTACAGGATTAAGATATCCAATTTTTACAATTCCATTATGGTTATGGAGAAGAAATGAGTTGTTTTTAATAAATCTGGTCTGTGTAAATGTCTCAGGGAGACAAAAATCTGGGTGACTAGGAACTTAATGTGTTTAGTGTTTCCAGCTGAAGTGCATGTAGAAGGATGAAGCTCCACAAATGCCAGTTTTCTGCAAACATTCCATCAGCCAAGGTACAGACTGTGAGAGGCAGGCAGAGCTGTCCTAGATTCAGCCTTTTTCTTCATCAAAGGAAGAAGAGAACTAGGTTTTTATTAATTCTAGCTGGGGGTAGAATTTCATTAACATGTTTAGTGTATACTAGTTTTACCAAGTAAGTTTTACCAAGTTAGTTTTACCAAGTAAGTTTTACCTTTTTGTTCTGCTTTGCAGCTTCTCCCACGTCACTGCCATTCATTTACAAACTGGTCCAGCTCTTCAGGCAGGCTTGGGCAGCTGTGCTTTCTCCAGGCCATAGGCCTCCCATTCGAGACTAAGTGTCTTCCTCCACTGAAAGTGTCACCTGGTCTTGGGCACGTCACCAGGCTCTTCAGGGGCTGTTCAGATCTGAAGTGTGGACTCCTGGAATTTCTTCAGACATGGTGGTGTATGAGTTTCGAAGCCACAGCAAGTATTCCTGACATTTTGCTTGGTCCATCAGTAGGGTACAGCCACTCCTTCCATGCCTACAACTGAATAAGAATCTAAGAATCCTCCTTTTCAAACACTTTGCTTTGGATGTGTCTCTTGAGTGAGGGTTGTGTAGCCAGTTATGAACTGTGGAAGAAGTTCTCATCCTTGCAGATGCTGAGCAGTTCTCTGAACAAGTGCAATTCCTGGAAGACAGTGATGAGGGGAATATCCTGTTTTCCCCGAAGACATCTGAAAAGCCCAGTTCCTGCAGCACAGGATTTAGAACAAGCACATGGAAGAAAAACACTGTAGAAATTAAAGCCTATTGTATTTTGAAAGCCATGGTTTCTCTTGTGACTGGTGCCTCTTTGGGGAGGCACAATGGATTTTAATCATATTTAAGCCAGAAAGATGAGGGGGTGGGCCACAAAGACTGCTGTGTTGTATCTACTCTTCTTAAATGCAAATTACAGCACTCAGTGCTTGCCTGATGCATAGCCATTCCTAGAAGCACTTGGTGGTGGTGGTAAGGAAATAAGTTTATTTTTTTAAATTATATTCTATGTTATTGTCTAGTTGAACAACTGAAGTTGTTGCTTTGTTTTGCTCTTTCCCTACCTCTTGCTTTGTTTATGTAGATGTCCAAAAAATGTCTCTGTATATCTAGAATTGCTCCCCAAGTCCCCAGTATCCAAAGTCCTGGGTTAGATGGGAGTCATGCAGCAATGCTCTGTCATTCAGAACAAAAGTTGTGTTTTGTTTTTTTTTTAATAGAAAGAGATACTTCTCTGACATCACAAAACTTTCCCCAGATCAGTGGCAAGAAAATTGTACACCTGCAGTTCTGTCACCAGACCAGTTCCATTTCTGACCACTTGGGGCAGAAATTGGAGCTTTGGGGTGGAACACTAATTTCTCCTCCATCCATTCAGCCATCTATCATCAACTGAGAGGTAAATTCCGAGGAGGGAGCAATGATCTAACAAAATACTGCTTTTAAACTGTTGTGTGCAGGAGGGGACAAGTTAAAAGTGAGAAGCCAGGGACAAATTTGCCTGTCATCCTGTGCCAAAAGGGTGCCAACTCACTGATGTCAGCCCAAACTACAAAATGTTGTCAGAGCAGCCTTTTTGGTGGGACTACACCAAAGCCATGAGGAGCAGCCAGTGCAGACCCCAGTGTGGTGTCTTGCAGCAGTAGTGCCCTTTGTCTCTAGCAATAACCATCCTCCCAGGTGGTGGCTGTTGCTGTTTTCTTCACACAGGGTGTGTTGGTGCCCTCAGACTGTGTGTGATCTCTTGCTTTGCTCCCTACTGGGGCACTGTGCAAACAGTCTCATCTTCACTACTAAAAACAGTTGTCTGTTTCATCTTAAATTATCCCAAACAGAGATACACCCCAGCATTATTGTCAGGCAAACTCAGGTTATTTGTGAGTGTAATAATGACTTTGCCTAGTTGTCTCAAGAGATTTAAAAACCCAAACCATTTAAAAACCCAAACCAATCCCATATGCCTCCCCAAAGTTGTTGTCTCTGCCAGGACTCTACACCAGGTTAAGTAGCTCATAGCTTTTCCATATAAAAAAAAGTAATTTTTTTATATATTCTGCACACCCAGGGAAGAGCAGCCTTTGACATTGCTAAATGGTTCCTGTAATCCAGCTGTAAGTGTGGTTACAACACTGAAACCAACCCCTGATGTGCAATCAGACAGAATGAAACACAGAAGCTGTCTGGAGTTGAGCTCTTCCAAGAAATGACCAAGATCAGTCCTCTGCCCCCCTGCTTTAGTCTTCTGGCATCATTTTTAGTTGGATGGCAGAGATGCTGTTCTGGAGGTTGGTTTGGACCAGTGGTTTCAGCAGTCCATACATAGTTTTTAGAATGCTGTTAGGTGTCCTTTACCAGGACTTTTAACATTCAAGTTTATTTTAAGTGTAGGTTGGTAACCTTGACTTTATTGGAGTACTACTGATTTAGAATTTATATTGTTTTAAATTCATCATGAGAGAGCAAGAAGGCAGAAATAAGCTATCAGGGTTTTTTTGCAATTAATACTAAAACTGCAGTATCTAATTTTTATAATAAAGTGACTACTGATTTACCTCTGTAGAGTTGCTTGTTTGTGCTGTGATTGAGTATACGAAAAAAAGGTGTTCATTGTATTGATACACTACAAAGTATATAAAAGTTTTCAAGAATTGTTTCACATTGTTTCATAGTTTCAGCATGTTTGAATTAAGCAGAGAATGTCTTCAGTGTGAATCTGATGAGACCTAATCCACTGATGATGTTGGTAGAATGTAAGTCTGCATTTTGGCATGGCCAAGACCAATACTCCCAAGAATAAAGTACCTGGTATTCATCATTATTAGATGAATGTATCTTTATATTAGAACTAACTACAGTTCTGAGCTTATTATATATATTAGGGGAGAAAACTCTGCAAATAAAAAGTAAAAATACATAGGGCAGATCTCTGTTTCAGGGAGAATGTCTGAAAACCAGTATTTTATCAATGTAGCAGTGTTAACAGGTACTTAATTACTTGATTTGGGAAGTTCAGAAATCCTGAAATGAAATGCTGCTGGTTCTCCCAGCAGGTGGCAACAAACTAACAGAAAACATTTATACGGGAACACCAGGAAAGTGTTGCTGAGGAAGGTATTAAAACGTGTGGGAAATGCAAAGACTTATATGCCCCGAATTAAAAGGAAAAGAGAATTTTGTGTGATCACCTAAGAACTTACTAAGAGTGCACTGTTTTGTAAAATGGCATAATAATGTTCTAGAATAATCCCTGATTCTGCCACTGCTGGTGAATCATTGAGGTAAGCAGCCTGTAGGGAGGGAGTGATGTACATCCAGTAGAGGAGAAAAAGCATTTAACTGTCCTTCATTGGCCTCTTGATGTATTTCAATCTCCAGCATATTGAGTTGGGGGAAGAAGGAGGAATCACATCACGTTCAGGGTGATGGAGCCCTGCAGTCCTGGTTGTATCTGAACACCTGCCTGCCCATGGGAAGTGTGAATCCACTCCTTGGTTTGCTTTGCTTCTGTGCACAACTTTTGCTTTGTGTGTTAAACTATAACCCACAGGTTCTCCCTGACTCTTCTGATTCAGTGCTCAGTTGCCAGCTGGGGTTAAACCACTACAACAGTACTTCTGAGTTCTAGATTATTCAAAAATGCCATTTTCAGAGATGTGTCTATCTTTAATTAGAGAAAAAGCCTTTAGGTTTCATATGGCAGCTCACCATCTGCCCACTTCCCAAGAATCCAGGTCCAGGCCATATCTGCCTCATGTCTCTGTGGTCTCCCACTGGCAGAGAAAATGCCACAAAGGATTGTTGCAAATAATTTAGTTAATCACAGACCTCTTTTAGATTTTGTCGCTGCTAGATCTGACACATTGACTCAAAGTGTGCCTAAGAGGTTTTGGGTGGTGGACTGCTCAAAGTATTTGCTGTGAGAGTTTTTCCTGGTTCTCTGAAGCTGTGAGCATTAACATTTCAGATTGTCCAGAGCACCAGAGCTTGTCTGGAATGTTACCACTTCCACTAGAAGAAGAACACTAGAGCAACCTATCCCTTAGTCTCAAAGCAGTGATCTGAAGGTTTTCTGAAGAACTCTGAGATTCAGCTTAAGCAAAGCAGCAGATGGAAATTATAATGGAAATTCTTTGTTAAAAACCAATTATGGCTCCAAAAATTATGGCTCTGTAGCTATTCCCAGCCAAAATCAAAGAGTAATCAAAGAGTAATGGTGTAAAGAACAGCAAAATGAAGACTATACTAAAGTGAGTTTGCAACAACCAGTATGAACTAGTTCTCACTGCTAAAATGTAGGTGTTAAAGAAGATATTTCTATGCTGGTTGCCAACAGTGGCAGAACAATCTATTATTATCATCATGTCAGAGTAGACATCTAATCTACATTTTAGGAATTGTCTATTTAATGTCTGCTGATTAAACATCATCATAAACAGTACATTTATAAAGTCAGGAGATACATGATGCAGATTCAAGCAATTAAGTGTGCCTTCCTCTTTGTTACTTAAGGGTTGCAACCACGAGGATTTCTCTACTGAGAGAAGCTGCTGCTTTCCAGTGGTGAACATTGCAGAAGGAGCAAAGTGGAGGAGGTGACTGCTCTAATTTGGTGTCAGAATGTTGGGGTGATGCCTCCAGATCTGTCCTGCAATAAACACTGCAGTAAGAATCAAATTTCTTCCTGTGTTTGAGCAGAGAAGTGACAGTCTGCACTGAAAGCTGTCCCATACTGCTGACAGCCTGGGTGACTGCACATGGAAAGAGAAGTAACAGAAGTAAATTGAGATGTTAGTAGAGAAGCCAGGAGATCACTTAAAAGTGCTAGTAGAGCACACTTAAGAATGGTAGTTATGTTCACTTTCCAGATCTCATTTTTGTTTTTTTTTTTTCTATCCTTTTCCATTCATTTGCTCTCTTATGCATTCTGTACTGGAATTCAGGTGTGAAGAAGTTTGTGCTGGCAGAACAGGGAATGGGACGGTGTGTGCGTTGCAGGTGATGTAAAACCCCGAGGTGTGAGAAAGCACAGTGTACAACGTGTTACATGGCCACACTCCAAACCAACAAGTGTGCCAGCCCTGTCTGCACCGAGTGTGCAGCCTGGGGTGTCGGTGAGCCCGGGCTGTGTGGGTGGATCTGCACGGGAGGGGTGCTGCAGGCAGCAGGGTGACCTCGTCCCGCGGCGCTGTGACGCTGAAGCGCAGCAGCAGGTGCTGGGGACAGGCCCTGGGTGCCTCCTGCCCTGCAGCCCAGAGCCAGGCGCCAGCACAGACCTGCCACCAGAGACCCCAAAGGGAGGGAAACCCCTCTGGAGACACCATGGTAAGGGGGATGGGGAGCACTGGGCACACGGGGACTGGGGGGCTGTGGGTGAGGGAAGGCAGAGGGGTCTGCTGTCGTTATCAGTAGGTTTTGCCACTGAACCCTGACCTCACACACCACTCACCACGTAAGAAAATGGGAAAGGAGTGCAGAAAATTTCTCTGAAGCATTACTGCATTAAGTTTCCTTCAGAGAGTTCCTAACTAGTGGGATTAGAAGATAAATTAGATTGGAGTCTTAGCTGCTTGGTACTTTCTGTTGTGACCACATTTTCTCAACACCAGCTCATTTTCATACAAGACATTTTTTTTAGAAATAAACCAAAAAATTATTCACCTTTGTGTCTGTTTTAAATTAATTTAGCCCCAATGGCTATACTGTCCATAGCTATCGAGGGTATGCATGTGTTTTTCTGGAGTCCGTGAATCTTTTTATATATGTATGCATTTAAGTAAGTTAAAAATGCCCTTTGTTTTTAAGTTTTGGTGGTTTGTTATAAATTCGTAGAAATCTCTCAAAACCTCTTAGAATGTGAAAAAATCCATTTCACCTTGTACCCCAGTATATCTCTAGCATAATTAGACTCTCTTGAGTCTAATTTTGGTTCAGAGGAAGAACTTTCTGCCAGCTCATCTCACAGGCAAAATACTTCCACAGGCTTCCCAGACCTAGGGAAGTGAGCGTGTTTGTGGAACAGCTGGAAGACTAAAGTCACCCTTTTGCAGTAAATCCTAGAGCCAGTTTGTGTTTTAAGAGTGAGCTGTCCCAGGTTTAGTTTCACAAAGGATCTGGTCCTTTCTACTGTTTCTTTGTTAGACCTGTCCTGGGTCTACAGGCATTAGTGGTGGGATGTGAAACATGAGTTTGGAAGAGACTCCAAATTCAAATATCACGTAAAGATCAGTTTACTCTGACTGTGACGCTGAAGAAGGCCCACCCTCTTCCCTACTAAAAGTCTGGCATGTATTTTAATGCTGTTCACTATGCAAAGTCAGAAACCTTTTTTTCACTGTCTTCTCTCTTTGGCAGAATATTTCCAAATTACTGCTGGGGAAGGAGAAGATGAAATGGCTCAAAAAGCAGGGTTGAGATGTGGTTTCAAACTAGTGCAGCTGAAAACTCAGTCTGAAAAGTCTTCAACTACAGTCCTGTATGACGCTTTACAATATTAACTTCCTAAGGCAGCATTCACTTGCTCCATCTGTGAAAAACCAGATTCCTCTACAGACGTGAAGAAATGAGCAAAACAGCTCTTTAGGTTTAAAATACTGCTTGACTTGTAATTGTAGTTTTGCTTTTAAAGATATTCTTTTTCCATCTGTGAAAAAAACAGACCAGTTCCTCTACAGACCTGAAGAAATGAGCAAAACAACTCTTTAGGTTTAAAATACTGCTTGACTTGTAATTGTAGTTTTGCTTTTAAAGATATTCTTTTTAAAAGCCAGCTGGCCTCATTGCTGTGTTTGAAAAGAAAAGAAACCCTTATTTTTCTTGCTGCCTGCCAGCCTCACAGATTCACACTGGGATTTGAAAGAAAAGGCAGGAGCCTGCTCTGTGGAAAGTCAGCATTACTTGAATTCTCTAAGCCCAAATATGCCTTCAGTGTCTCCTGAGTAATCCTCCAGATTGCAACACACTGACTTATGGAGTCCATTTTCACTCAAATAACTCAGAAACTTTTGCACAACTCAGTTGAGAAAAACAGGGTTGTGCAAGTACACTTGAGAGCACATGCACGTGCAGAGTCAGCAGGAATTTTCAGCTTAGAATACTGAGTACTGAATAGAAATAATTTATTTTGTTGAATGAAAGATTTAAATTGAGCTTTCATGTTCATTTGAACTTCTGAGGATTAGCTGGGGCAGTGATGACTTTTGAAATTCTAGTTGCTTCTGAAAAAATGTCTTCAGTTATGTTTCTTACACACAAACTTATGTCAATTTGAATAATTGAAAGAGAAGAAAACATTTCTCCAGAGATGTTGCTGGTTGCACATTGTGATTGAAAATTTAGTTTTTGGGGAGGATACATTTAATTCTCAGGTCACAGAATTATTTTGCTGGGTAAGCAGCTACAGAATTTAATTAAAAAAAATTAACTAGTCAAATCTAAATGCAATATTACAAAACAAGAACGAGTTAGGACCATCCTCTTCCCTCAAAGCCAGGCCTGCTTCACAGCTGGGCATCTCAGTTCTCCTTCCCTCTCCAAAGCCTGGCAGTGGTCAGTGAGCTGCT